AACCACTTAACTAATTAGTAGTTGCAGTCACCGAGAAAAACATGAATCAACACTGTTATTACAAGTGGCACATTTGAGTGGCATCTAATTATGACTTGATGAGCACGATACTTGCATTATCAACATCACTACTGCATCCCATCAGGGCCTAAAAGCTGCTGATGGCATTGACTTCGAGAAACTCCCACTCAATGGTACAGCAGCACCCAACAATCGGCTTGGCAGGGGCCCCCCTCACTAAATGACACGTTAAGCGTAATTACTGGTAGACATTGTAAATAAACAGGATTGGAAGTGAAAATTGTACCAAGTGCATAAGACACAATCTGACACATTGGAAGTGGCAGCCTTAATTGAGAGTTTCTTTGACTGCTCAAGATCATTTCCAACTGCATTTCTCAGAGGACAGTGATTATAACTGTGCAGACAGACGGCATAATGGTATCAGCGCTGCTGACGGAGCAGTGAATTAAATTGTATCTGCTGCAGAGTGAAAGCCTTGATGAGCGGTACAGATGCCTTAGCGGTCTTATCATTATAACACAATGGTCATGTTGTCATCAACCTTTCTGGCTCCAATTGAAAAGAAATGATTGTGTGTTGAAGCTCCCCCCCTCCACACCACCCCCCCTCCTTGTCCTCTTCTATCTCTTGTTCTGAATAGAACCAATTTTCAGAGAGCTATGAAATCACGCAATAGGTCCTAAAATGCAGCTGCTTGGCATACAAACGGGTCCCCATTAAAGTGGAATCACACACAATATGTGTTTATGCCAGAAGAACAAATAGAAGCTGAACACAGGCCAAGTTTATTCACACACACAAAGCCCATGTAGCTCTTCATCAATATAATTGCCTTTTATATTGTAGTTTAAATAATAGGCTCTATTATTTCCTTAAAATCCTAATATTCCTGGCATTTTATCACTATGTTTACAAGGTAGGTTCTTCAAAAATGTGAAGGAAAGAGAAAAGAAACCTATACAATTTTTTACAACATCAAATATTACTTTGAATTTTTAGCCTTAACTACTTGACATCTTCTGCCACAATCTGGTATTTCTACTCTCATAACAAAAACATAAACACTCTGCATTTTTCACAGGAATTTGACTTTTTATTCAATAACATTCTTGCTCATGAAAGCGTAAGAAAAATCATTCTGCAGTGGTGAGGTATGGGCCTACCATGAAGATTGAAAAGGGAGGAGGAAGAAACATCCATTTCTCTAAACATTTTGTAAAGAGCTACACTGTGATTTAACTTGATAAACGTGGCGAGGTAGGACTCACTAACATCTTCTCCAATTTGGAGTTTGTGTACTCTATCAGGTTGGGGTTTTATTTCTTTCTCAAAGGGGGACCAGAAGAAATTTTTAAATTGTGCTTCATTTAGTTTAAGAAATGATCCCAACCTGTCATGTTTGGTAGAACACACCCGTAAACCTAGGGCTCAGGAAGCTGAGGAAGAATGGTTGTGAGTTCAAGGTCAACTTGGTCTACATACTAAGACCTTATTTCTAAAAAGAAATGAGGAAGAAAAAGAAGGAAAAAAGAGAAAAAAACTATTATCCCAATGCTAAACTGGTAAGCAAAGAAACCTGCCTATCAACTTTCCAAGTTCAAAAAGGAATAATGTATTTTAAAGGCAATTTACATCTTGGAAAAATATATAACCTCATTTCCAAACCCGAAAGTCAAGTTACAAGACACAAAACAAAAAATATGTACCTTTTGAAGAACTGAAATTCAAAAAACTAAAAGCAAAGAAAAAGAAGGGAAGAGAAAGGAAAAAAATGGAAGGGAGATGAGAAAAAGAGGAAAGAAAATACAAAAGCAAAAAAAAAGAAAGAAAAAAAAGAAAATACAAAAGCTTTGGCTGTTCATGTAATAACTGACCTTTTGGTCTTGAATGTAAGCTTGTTCTGTAAAATCCTAATTCATGGCCACTGTGCCAGTGACAATTCAGTCTCAGACGACAAGAAGTCCTTTTTTTTTTTTTTTAAAGATAAGCTTAAGTAAAGGCCTCTGATGTTACAGTTATGCTTTGAAAACAAACGAACTAATCTTTTAGAAATTCTGGCTGAAAGATTAATAGATAGCAAATATTAAAATAATACAATAACTGGCATCAGTTTTATAGTAATATGAGGTAGGTATGAGTAGATATGGAAGCACATAATCAAGATGACAGGTTTGCATTGGTAACTATTTACAGCTGGTTGATGGGACACATGAAGGCTCATATGTATTTTTTCACTTTTGAATAACTTTGACACTTGGCATGAAAAAAAAATTAAGAGCTAGGCACCAGTGGCTCACACCTATAGTCCTAGCTACTCAGGAGGCTGAGATCTAAGTAGCATGGTTCATGGTTTGAGGCCAGCCCAAGCAGGAAAGTGTGAGATACATACACAAGACAACAACAAAAGCCAGATGTAGAGCCCTGGCTGAGGTGATACAGTGCTAGCTTTGACCAAAACAAACTCGGGGATAGCACCCAGGCCCTGAGTTCAAGCCCCAAGACTGGTACCGAAAGAAAAAAATAATTAAGATCTTGTGAATTCAAAAGTATAGCCTAAAAGCCTGCCAACCATCATTTGCCTCAGCTAGCTGAATTAGCAGTACATCCTTCCTCTGTGACTTCAAAGTACTGTACTCCTACATATACATCACTGAATGCAGGTCACACTGCAGATAACGGGCTTTTGTTTGGTTTGGTTTGTTTGTTTGAATTTGTTTCTGTGTTCTATTCACAGAATATTAAAGCAGAACTTTGCTTCATGCATTTCTGGTTCCCTTGTGTCTAGAACAACATAAGAAGGTACTTATGTTTGTTTGAAGGACTGAAAAACCTATCAGGCTACATTGGCTTGCGCACATCCTCTTTTCCGAGTGCTCACTGTCCAGCTTCACGCTGATCCTTCATGTGGGTTTTCCAGGAATCCTTATCGCATCCTACAAAGGGGATCATCATAGCAACTTGTCTCTGCACAACACCAGAGGCCCAGAGAAGTAACATTCCAAAGAACAGAGCTTCAACTGAGAAAGCCCAGCCAAGACCACTTCTAGACAACTCCCTTTTTCCACAGTCTTCTTTCATTAGTCTAGTTAAAGGTCAACCCCAATGATGTTGCTTTCAGAGCAAAACTCCTCTCTAAAACCCACACATAACACAAATTCTCCTTCAAGGTCAGATCATTGAGACAGGTTTTCATGAGGCAAGAAAGCAGCCAGGTGGTTGGTGGTCTGCTGTGCCCTGAAATAGAACACAAGATCTAATGCTGTGGTCTCAAATCAATGAGAAAGGACTCTAGTGACTTCTCCTTTCATGGGAATTTGGCCTCCAGGGCACACAGCTTTGCTCTGGGGAGTGTTCTTTGTGTAGAAAGACTAGGAGGCGGGCTCAGGGGGAACTGGCAGAGGGCCAAGAGTGGCATGAAATATGGGTAGTGACATATTTACCCTAGAAATAAAGGCAGACTAAACTAGGGCGAGCAGAGCTTGATGGCCTGACAAAGCTTTCCCTGAATCCTTCTCAACATGTTCTTCTCACACTTTGAGAAATAAGTAAGCAGGTAAATAAGCACAAGGATTTCAGATTTCAACTGTTTACCAAAAGAAACTTTCCCCCCACAGCTATGCAAATGTGCAGATTTGTCCAGAACCAATTTCCTAACTGCTAATGGAATGGACTCAACACTGAGTGGAGTTTGGGCACTGGATACTTCCATAGGTTAAAATGGCGGCAAGAGCAACTAAAACAGATCAAGTTCTCATTACACTCCAGATCCAGTGTTGATACTATTTGTGTGCATTCTCTCATTTTAGCCTCCCATCTACATAGCATGGTCAAACATCCCAATTTTACTGATGCAGAAACTTTCTTAGGGCTACATAAATTCTGGGGCTCTTCAGTAGTAATACAGCCTAGCAATTCTCTCCCAGATTTCCAGCCCTACAGTCCATTCAAAAGCCATGAACCATTTATCTTGCATATAATTTTAAAGTAATATCTGAAGTTTTCTTACTTCTACTGTCTTTTGTTGCTTGGGGGTTTTGTTTGTTTGTTTTTTGCCTCGAGACCAAATAAATAATAGTCATTTTCCTGCCATCCAAATTTTTTAAAGCAGGCTTAATAAAAAGAAAAATTAAATGAATGGCATTATTGTACTAACCTTACAGGTCTTACCCTGAGTTGCTTCTAGGGAGAAATTTTTTTTTAACTACCCTAGGTACTTAGAAGACAAAAGGAAAAAGGAAATGATAGATGAAAAGTGTTACTCATTTTACATAATGCAGGAGACCAAATCCCTTCTATCTACCTAGATCAAAACATCTTGTGATAAATCCTACCACAGGAAACTTGAACTATCTTCACTGCACACAATACACCAATCCACTATTAATAATTGAAGCAGATGTAACAGTGGAACTGGATCAGTCTTTCAAATGTGGGCGGTGTCAGCCTAGTCCCATCACCCCTACTTTAAGGAAGGAGAAAGGCTCCTGCAATTGTGAGTCATGCATTCACAAATAAGGGGTATTTCTATTCCAGCACACTGGTCTCTCAGACAGGCAACACCACCAACTAGATTACTCTCAGATTTTTCTTGGTTAGAGCCAGGTACTGAAATACACTAGTTATTTAACTATAAGGCTGCACTTTTACAGCTATTTCACCTTCCAGAAGGGTAAAATGATTCATGGTATAGTTACCCAGTCAAGGTTTTATGACAGAATCAAGTGGCCTGACGATACAGCATCGCCTCGGGAGAATGACAGAGAAGGGCCTTTCTTCCGAGAGAGGAGCATTTGCCCTGCCATGCTCTGGCTCTTTGCCTCCTTTCTATTCCCATCTGACATTCTGGATCTCATTGGTTATGTTCTATCTTGGAACATAAATACCAGATTTATGACACATTTAAAAAATACCAAAATTTTAGAAGACGGTTATTGCAGCTTTTATGGGATTAAAACCTGCCACAGGGAAAGACCTACGTCAAACATGTGTGCTTGTAGAATGTCTAAACTCTGCAAATCTGTTATTGCTTTGCCTTAAAAAAAATCTTATTGAGGTATAAGTGCCCTGTGAGTAACATAACCTGATGAATTTGAGCATAAGTATACAAGTGTGAAACTATGACCATGACCAAAGTCATGGCCATACCTATCTCAAAGTTCCCTTCTACTCTACTCATTTTCATTACTTATTTATCTTATTTATTTTACAGTGTTGGGGATCAAACCTAGGTCTTGACACATGCTCAGCAAAGTGCTAAACTACCACCTAACTACATCCTCAACCCTTATTTATTTATTTTAGAACACTTAACGTAAGATCTATTCTAATCTTAAGACACTTTTAAGTACAAAATCTTGTGTTAGCTATGGACCCAAAGCTGTACAGTAGAACTCTAGTGTTATTTCTTTCTTCCTAATTAACCTATAAAAACTAATCAGATTACTATAAAGCTGTAAGAATATTTTCTGAGGTATTATTTATAAAAGTTAAAAATAAATAAAGTGATGATGGAATAAATACATTATGGTACTATTATATAAACCATTAATAATTTAAACTGATGCATCAGTCTACAAACACACCAAGATGACAAAATACAGTTTACCAGAAAAAAAGTAAGCTACAAAATAGAATGCAAATTTTTTTTTCTGTAAAAGATATAGAAGACAAATAAAAAACCAGAAAGGAGAGACTATAAAATACTATCACTGACTTCTCTCAAGGAGTCAAAATAAACTCATTTTTTACTTTCCTTTGACTTTTTAACATAGCAAAATTTTCTTATAACAGGCTCAAGATTTTATAATAACAATAATGTTCACTGCATTTCTCTAAAACTCACAGTAATTCCAGGGAAAATGGGACAATTTCTGTTTTCTTGGTTGCATGTCTAATGTAACAAACAAGTTCTTTGCCTATTGAACAATTCCAAAAGTTATGTGTCTGTACTATTTCTACTGAAATGCTTACGTACTTTTCTGAAATTCTTCCAGTTTTTTAACAGCTTCATCTCGTTCTTGCCTAATTTTGTCACACTGAAATGAGAAAAAAAGGGAAATGTTAAACTTCATAAATTTTAAGTCTCGAAAGGTGAGCATCAAAAGTAAACTTATAAGCAATAGCAATTTTTTTTAAAAACAAAATGCGTCTTATGAACTCTAATGATACATGGTTTGTGTATTGCTTAACTAGCATGGTACAGGTAGTATTTTGTATCTGGCCACTATTCGTGGATCTTCTAATATAACGAGACTCCCTACCCTCATTGTATGAACACCAGATCAACAGGCCATCCTTGAGTTCAAATGTACTTGCTCTTTAGAGCAGTGCTTGTGCTTCATTTTGGGGAAGGTAACACAGTGACCACCCTGCTCCTGCGTGAGTCAGGTTTTAACCACCCACAATGCTGATGTCATCTTGGAAACAAATGGAAGGACAAGCAAATGAAGAAAAAGTGCTGACACTCCACTGTGCCCTCTCTCACCCAACAAAAAGTGTTCTTTGGGTCTTCAGCATTTTGAATAGAAAAAGGTAGGAAATAAAAAAGGAGAGCAGGCAAAACATTCCCAAATATAAACTAACATTTTATTCAAAAGAGGTCGGGGTGTTCACTGAAGAGACTTTAGCTGGCAAGACCATAAACAAGCAGGAGTAACAATCAAAGCATTACACTAGTAATGGAAGCAAGTATCTTACATTTCAATAAGTGCTAAGAGCATTAATGATTTATATAAAAACAGGCATTCATTATGAGAACTAAACTCTTATCCAGAAGTATGAAACAGGGATGTTTTTCTTCAAAAGATGCCTAAAGCTTTTTAAAAAGAGTTAAAATTAAACTATTAAGGTAATCCTTAAAAACTGAATCTTCTAGTAATACCTTGTTCTTTAAAAGAAGTATATAAATAAGGCATAACACTAAGCTGGATTCCTAACATGTCAGACAAATATATTTTTTGTAGCACTGAGGATCATAACCTAGGGCCTGGAGTGCAGTATGCAAGCGTTTTACCATAATAGACATCTGCAGCCTTGCTGGATGTTTTAAATTTTAAATTTCCGCGGTCAAAACATTGTGATGGCACCAAGTAATTTGAAAACTCAAAGTTAAAACAGGAGAACTCTCACCGGGCGCCAGTGGCTCATGCCTGTAATCCTAGCTACTCTGGAGGCTGAGATCTGAGGATTGCGGCTCAAAGCCTGGGCAAAAAAGTCTGTGAGATTCTTATCTCTAATAAATTACTCACAAAAAGCCAGAAGTAGAATTGTGGCTCAAGTGGTATAGCGCTAGCCTTGAGACAAAGCAGCTCAGGGACAGCACCTAGGCCTAGATTTCAAGCCCCAGGAGTGGCAAAAAAAAATTTTTTTTTTAATTGAAAGAAGGAACAGTAAGACTCTCATCTACTAGATTGGACTAAAAAAAAATGTCATGTCAAAATCTGGTAGCTCACATTCTTCAGTTGATGAACTGGTACGTATACTTAGAAACTAAACTATCAAAATTCTAAATATTCAATTCTTCTAGTGTATAGGTACCTAATAATGAGCACAAAATAGTTAGTACAAAATGTTTGGCAATTATGACAATAAGTTGTCAAATACCCTTGGCTCACACCTGTATTCTTAGCTACTCAGGAGGCTGAGATATGAAAGACTGTAGTTCAAAACCAGCCAAAGCAGAGTATTCAAGACTTGATAACCAATTAACCAACAAAAAGATGAGCTCGAGGCTTAGCTCAAGTGTAGAATGCCATCCTAGCAAACTGACTAAGCTTGAGTCTCTGAGTTCAAATCCCAAGATTAACCAAAAAAAAAAGTCTAGCTTATTCATGTAATAAACTACACAGCAATGAAAATGAGTTAATCAAACTTGTATGTCAATACAAGTCTCAAAGACCATGTTGATTAAAAGTAACAGCAGAATATATATCAAATGATACCTTAAGTATACAAAGAATAGAGTATATATAAAAAGATGATACATTATGATCTATGTATGCATATGTATTATACATGGTATATTAAAATATGAACAGGTAAAATGGCAAAATATATAATCAAACTTATAACAGCAGTTGTCCCTTAGGGGACAGGAGGAAAATAGGCCTAAAGAAATCTTCAATTTTATCCACAGCATCCACAAATGTTTTAAAAAAATTTTTATTGTTATTCTAAAGATGATGTACAGAAGTGTTATGGTTATGTAAGTCAGGTAAAGAGTACCTTTCTTTTTGGACAATGTTACCCCTTTCCTCACACTCTCGGTTTTTCCCTCACATCCCCACCCACAAGTTGTATAGTTCATTTTCAACATAGTGTCTAATGACTACCACTCCTCATGAATGCTTTTTTTAAGTCGGTCTTGGAGCTTAAACTCTGGGCCTGGGCACTGTCCCTGAGCTCTTCAGCTCAAGGCTAGTGCTCTACCACTTGAGTCACAGTACCACTTCTGGTTTTCTGGTGGTTAACTGCAGATAAGAGTCTCATGGACTTTCCTGCCAGGACTGGCTTTGAGCCACGATCCTCAGATCTCAGCCTCCTGAGTAGCTAGAATTACAGTGTGAGCCACCAGCACCAAGCATTTTTTAAAAATTTAAAAACAAAACAGTTAAGGCTGGACACTAGTGGCTCTGCCCGCAAATCTTAACTATTCAGAAGGCTCCGAACCAGAGGATGGCAGTTTGAAACCAGCCTAAGCAGAACAGTCTGCAAGACTCCATCTCCAAAACATGTATCAATAAAACAGCTTGGAGGCATGGCTCATACAGTGGAGCAACAGTAGAGCAAGTCCAGGAAGGCCCTGCATTCAAACCCTAGACCTTAGTACAGAAAAAAAAAACAACAGTAAGTTAATTCTGTACATTTGGGTATTTTTGTATTATTTTCTGCTCTTTCCTAGTTTAAAACATTAAAGATAAAGAAAAGAAAGCAACCAGCTCCGATTTTTCTTTTAGTCTTCAAAGAACTACTGAAGAGACTCATCCTGCCACACCCTGAGGCGGGCGCGCAGGACTAGACCAGCGATGCTCTCACCTGCACCCTCAGAATGAGTCGGGCTGAACTGAAAATCATTTTTTACAGATGTCATATTGTTTCATTTATGTTTCAAGGATAAATCTATCCTATGTAAACAAACAAACAAAAATCTAACATGTTTCTAGGCTAGCTCCCACCAATTTAACAGGTAAACACACGTTATCCCTTTCGGTCATTTAAATTTCCCTTTGCCAAAGTTCTAGCGTCTCAAATAAACTTCCCCCACCTAAGTGGTCTACTCCATACAATACAGGCTCTAACTCTGAGCCTGCTGCCCAGCAGATTCTAGAATGTTCCTCTTCTTTTCTAGACCTGGTCTTCCGTTTGTTTTGGACTTCCCCCAAACTCCTGCTGGTTTGGCCAACTCCGCTCACCACCCCACCCCCAACAATGCCTGTGCTTTGTCTAGATCACAAAGAGAAACCCAATTCCTAGCTAGACTCAAGGCCTAAGTCAGGAGTGGCAAAGGCTACATACCTGGGGTGTTTCTGCTGGCTTGTTTCTATACAGTTCAGCTCACACTAATGCTCTAGTTACCAACCAATAGATTCACAGGCTGTCTCCCAACCCCAGCTGTGTTCTATCAGGGGTCTTCATGTGGCTTTGCTTTCTATTTTCTGCAACCATATTGTGATGGAACTGGCAGCCACTGAATTTACCATCTGCTATGCTGAAAAGGGTGTGTGTTACGGGTGAGGGGGGTTTACACATGCTGCAAATTACTTCTTCCAAACCAGAACAGATCAAAATCTGAAGGATTGTAACCATTTCCTGAGCAAGAATTCCAAATGTCCACTAATTCGTCCTTTCAGGTGAATCAAGGCATCTTGCCATTTCCTTCTCATTCTTCATTCTATCAGAGACAGGTTAGGGAGGTTTGTGGGCCTTTATGGAAGAGCATTTCTTCTTGAGCCACACAGAAGCCCCTCCCCCAGCCCACCCTTTCCTCCATGCACATGCAGCTGCACCATCTGTAAAAAGAAAAAGGAAAGAAAAAGAAAAGAAAAAAACCTGCTTCTTTTTGTTCTGAGACTTGCTCATGAAGACTCTGCAAAAGCAACAGATGTTTTTGGGCCCACGTCACTTAATTATGATGCTCAACGACTTTCTGCAGCTCAAGGCGACGGTAGAACCCAGAGGCCTGTGTGCTGGCTGATGTAATCAAGCTGGGTAATATGAATGGTTTACTCTGCAGACTCTCTTTATGAAGTGATGAATTGACTGGAGGAGGAAAGCCCTGAATATCACAAGTCTTGGCTGTTTCCCAGTTCTCTCCTTTGAGCTTCACTCAGGCTCATACCTGGCTGGTGAGACCTACCCAGATGTCCCAGCATTGGTTGACTGGTTCATACAGGAAAGTCCTTACAGTGTGAACTAGCATCTTCAAATAGGGGCTCAATTTTCCTCTCTCATTTACCACCCATTACCGCGAATGGTAAGTATCATCTCCTTATCAGAAGCCATGATGTTGGAAACTCTTATTCAACAGAACCTGTTTAAGATAGTCTCCCATCCTAGCAGCTCCTACCGGCCTGCCAAGGAGGGTCAGACACTGCTAATGACCATTATGTTTGGACAACCAATGGAGAGACCCAGATAGCTCTCCATTTTGCTGTGTGGATAGTTTATACAAGAGAAATCTCAACATTCTGTGCCTAACTTACACGAATGTAAACATTCATTTCTATCCTGATACACAAATACTATAAAGGGTTGCCTGCCTATAAAAAAGCAGTTTGTACCCCCAAAATTACATGTATGCACTGCCTATATACACTACCCAGAGCAGTGACAACCTATCCATAGGCAAACATATACCTTACAATTTACTGAAGTAGACTCCTGATGTTCTGTCATCACTAAGTGTGATCATTCCTTCCATAGAGTACCTATACCTGCCAGACACTGTTAAAATAGAGGGAAATATGGTAGGAGCATCACAGATGCTACGTGTGCATAAAATTTATAATCTAGCAGGAAAGAACAACAATAAAACAAG